TTAATCGTAGGTTTAATCTTTCCAGCGTAGTTCCCTCTTCACCACGACGGTCCGGCCACAATCCTGCTGAGCCCAAATGAATGGCCACTTATGGTGGTGAAGGGGTTTGCATGTCCTGTGAACCTGGAATTTGTGTTGTTGGGGGGCATTACCCCTGTTAGGGTCTCCTAAGGCACATAGGTCCAGGTGAGATCAAACAAAGAGTGATTCAGAAACCTCCAAGAAGCAACAGAAGGGGAACACAGATCCTTGGAAGTGAGAGACTGGGCCACCTCACTGGAGCCAGACCTGGGGGGGGTGACGGCAAGCGTCTAGTGGCCAGGCTTTCCTACATGGGGCCCAATCGGGTTCAACCCGAAGAAAACATGGAGCTGCACCCTGTGGGCGCACCACCTTCAGGGATTGGCATGGGGGTCAGGTGCTGTGTAGACCGGACGGCAGGCGTAGGAAGTGGTCTGGTATTGTTTATTTTGAATTTAAAGCTAATGCCCCGTGTTATCGTTTGGATCTTTTTATCTTCTTTATGTCTGACATGTAGAAGTTCACCAGCAGCTGATTTGGAAGTCACACCTTCTTCAGGCATGTCAAGAAGTGGAGACTCTGAACAGCATTTTTGGCCATCGCTGAGGTGTTGATGGACCAAGTCGCGTCCTGGCTGACGTGGGCACTTAGGTATTTGAAGCTGTGCACGACCGCCGTCTTGCCGTTAATGTTGGGCTTCAGCCTCCTGAAGTCGAGGACAATCTCCTTCATCTTCACGCATTGAGGATCAGGTTGTTGTCTCGGCTCCAGTTCTCAACCTCTGTTCTGTAGGCTGACTTATTGTTGTTGGTGTTTCAGCCAACTAGGATGGTGTCGTCTGCAAACTTAAGAACGGAGGTATTCTTGTGGGAGGGTCTGCAGTCGTGTGTGTAGAGGGAGAACAGTAGAGGGCTCAGTACAGACCCTAGGGTGCATCTTTTACCATAGACACAGTCTGTGGCCTGTCAGTGAGGAAAACATTGATCCAGCTGCACAGGAGTGTTAATGCCAGCGGGATCAGTTTTGTGGCCAGGTTGTGGGGGGGTGGTTTAGGTTGAAAGCGGAGCTGAACTGAAGTGAATGAACAGCATCCCGCTGATCAAAGTGTGTCTGCGCAGTGGGGAGGACCAGTGACACTGCGTCCTCAGTTGTGTTGTGGGTGTTTGTCCAAGGAGAGTGGCATGTTGCTCTTGATGTGTACCAGAACAAGGCGTTCAAAGAACTTTCATCACGGGTGTCAGCGCCAGTGGTCAATGATCAGTGACCTGATTGCTGTCTGTTTTAGCACTGGAGGAATTGTGGCCAACTTGAGGCAGGTTGGGACTGTTGGCTGCTTCAGGGAGATGTTAAATAGGTTGGTGAACACTGCTGTTGGCTGTCCTGCACAGTGTTTCAGGGCCCTTCCTGTAACCCGATCAGTGGCTTTGTTTTGGATGAAGTTGTTCTGAGGCGGTCTCACCTAGTAGGGGCTCAGCATCAGCCCACCTGGCATGTCCCCTGCAGTGTCAGTGATGGGTTGTTGAGATTGTCTCTACAATCAAACCTGGCAAAGACGTGGTTCAGGTCCTCAGGGAGAGATGAGTTGGCAGTGTGTGTTGGGCTGCTGTTGTTGCCTGCATAGCCTGTTATGGTCTTGATGCCATGCACATGCGTCAGGAGTCAGAGCTCCTCTATACGCATTTTGTAGCAGCGCTTCGCTTGTCTGATGCCTTTCCTCAGTCTGGACCGGCTGTACTGTAGGCCACTGTGCGGAAAGCAGTTTCACAAGCCTTCAACAGGTTAACCATAGCTGCATTCATCCACAGTTTGTGGTTGGGGAGTGCATGTATGTTCATCTCTGTGGTTATATTGCCCATGCAGAAGGTGCTGACCGGAAGGTCGAGGGTTCGATCCCCAGCTGCAGCAACATGTCCGATGTGTCCTTGGGCAAGACACTTAACCCCGAATTGCTCCCGCTGCTTCGGTGGCGGTGTTTGAATGGGATTAGTTACTTCTGATGGATGATGCTACATAACGATCATCACTACCATCAGTGTGTAAAAGGTGTGAATGCGTAGGTGTGACATGTGGTGTAAAAGCGCTTTGAGTAGTTGGAAGACTAGAAAAGCGTTATATAAGCTCAAGTCCATTTACCATTTAAGTCTGTGTGGTTGTTGTTGGTGGCAGTCAGTTTGAAGATGTACCAGTCTGTCTCATCGAAGCAGTCCTGTAGCCTGGGCATTGCTCCCTCAGGCCAGACCCCGATGGTACAAAGCGTGATGTTTAATCCTTACGATGAGAGGAAATCCAGGTGGTATCTAATGGGAGAGCTCCAGGCCGCAGAGTCTGAGCAGGCCGCCATCTTTACACCTACCTTACACCTCACAACCTACAGAACGTACCACAGCACTTCCAAACACACACACATCAAAGACCACACACCCTCACAGAATACTCCAAAAGGGACAATAAACCACAAACACAGAAGTGGGCGTGTCTGTGTGTAAGGGACTAATGTGTATCCACATCCAGGTCCAGATATGGTCACTTCTGGTTCCAAAGAACCATTGTAGTATTTGCAAAAATGCCAACATTGGTGCTCACTGGTTGGCTTCAGTGTTCATACGTATGCTTCTTTTATACAGAGTGGAAAAAAATGAAGAAAACTGTAGTTAGTGTGTTTCCGCTCAGCAGCAGGTACAGAAACCCACCATGAAAACTTGAAACAGAAGCTTGCTGCTTCTATTGTTTCATGTGCTTTAGCTTGAAAGACGGTCAAAAAAAATTTCCACTGTGGTTGTAAAGTAATACCCTCATAATGAAGGGCCAATCAGATTGCCCTGTGATTGTTCCCTCCTACTTTATATGGTTCTATGAAGGAGAAGCAGCTTCTCATACGAGTTCATTCTACTGCTGTATTAAGTGGACGAAGGAGAAAATGAAGTCTGTTCTTGTTTTTCTACTGACGCTCACACTTGCTCGTAAGTTTATGTCCAATCTTCTCGTCTAATTCTGATCTTTTAAGGATTAATATGTTTTATTTTTAGCACAGAGCATACATGATCTTTCTCTGTTGTTAAACACTGACATATATTTATTTTCTTCAGGATGCACCATCTATGAGAACTTTGAGACAAAGACTGTTGGTGTTGGAGATGATGTGACTCTGACGTGTCCTCGTGATGCTTCTCAGTATTCAACACAATTATTCTGGCTCCGGCTCGTTTCTGGTGATTTGCCTGAGGTTTTGGGAGGAACCAATGCCATTGATTCTGACCTTGTTGAAGAAACTCCTGGATTCACAGCAAAAAAAGAGCCTGGAACGTTTGTGGTGATTATTAATAGAGTAAAAGTCGGAGACACTGGACTTTACTTTTGTGTGAAACGAGAGAGTATTAAAATGACAGTTTTAAAAGGAACATTTCTGCAGATTAAAGGTAAATAAAATGCACTTAAAATTCTTTAAAATAATACCTAACACCATTTATGAGAGCAGTCAACCAAATGTCCCCTGAATAAGGAAAAAACATACAGCATACTTTCTAGGATGTTTTTCTCTTAATTCTAAACTGCAGCTACTTTGAATATTTTAAACAAATCCAGCATATTTACTTTGTGTTGAATTTATTCAGGACCAGAGCCCAGTATCACCTCAGTCGTTCAAGACATTTCACAGGATCCAGTCCACCCAGGAGACCTGATGACTCTGCAGTGTTCTGTTCTCTCTGAGTCTGAAAACAACACATGTCCAGGGAAACACAGAGTGTTCTGGTTCAGAGCCGGATCAGATGAAAATCATCCCAGTGTCATTTACACTCATGGAAACAGACCTGGAGGATGTGAGGAGAGTCCAGAGGCTCACTCTCCACAGAAATGTGTCTACAGCTTCTCAAAGACCGTCAACTCCTCCGACGCCTCGACTTATTTCTGTGCTGTGGCCGCATGTGGAGAGATATTGTTTGGAAATGGGACAAAGATTGACTTCAAAGGTAACTGCAGAACATTCAATATGAATCATTTTTTAACATTCATTTTCAAACAGTTGAATCCACCTGGAAGATTTTAGTGTAACATCTTAACACAATAAGTTTTTATATGTTTTCAGGAGCCGACAATCAGACGGCCGTAATAGCTCTGTTTCTGTAACTGCACATATTTGGAGATGTGGCAAAAGTAGATGTTGAAGGTCAAACGTTTTTTTATGCTAAGAATCTGCAGATTAAAGTGTGAAATGATGGTCTCATTGCAGATTGGTATGATCTCAACACATATATTTATCATAAAACACATCCTTTATAAAATATGCCGATGACTCCGTTGTTGTATGTCTGCTTCAAGAGAATGAGACGAGCCACGGCCCGGTAAATGACCAGTTTGTACCAGGTGTGAGGAGTCTTACCTCCAGCTGAACATATCTCAAACTCAACATATGATTATTGATTTTAGAAAGAAAACTGTATGTGGGGTGAGTCTGATTGGTGAGTCTCATCTCTTCCTGGCGTCTCTGAGACAGTTGCAGAGGATAGCTACCTCGATTATAAACGATGATTCTCGTCCTTTGCTCAGTTATTTTCAGCTTCTCCCCGGACGGAGGATTTTAGTCCCAACGTGCAGAACACAGCGGTACAAAAACAGCTTTGTTCCTGCTGCTATCACAGAAGTGAACAAGCTGTAGCCATATTTGTGGCTTATTTTTAACCTGCCTGAAGAGATCATTTTTGTTTTTGATATTATTGGTTGAGATATCTCTCTCCCTTATGCTTCTTATTGTGAGAACATTGAGCACTTTTATAATTATTTGGGGTTTTTATGATGTTTTAGTCGGTTTATATATAGTTCCCCTTTCTCTAATGTGTTACATCTGTTCTGTAATCTGTGTGTTATCTTGCTGGCTGCAAACAAACCTACTTAAGGGTACAAATAAACGCACGTGAACCTGAACTGTAATCACATTATATTAATAATTAAATCATTCTTTTTTATTTTCATTCTTGTCTAGAACGAACAGCAAGTTTTGAATTGATCGGGCTGGTCATAGCGATACTCTGCTTGGTGATTTCTCTGATTGGAAATGTTTCTCTCATTTGCTTCCAAACTCCGAGAGAAGAAAGTGAACAATCTAAAGGTTAGTGACGATGACCCGTTCTAAAAGCATTATACAATTTCATGTAACAACGTGTTCTCAGAAGGAGGAAGACACTTTTCTGCCGGGTTATAATCTTCCTAACAGCTGTGGTTGTTGGCTCAAGTAATGAGACGAACTCGTTCTCTAAGCAGCAAAAAATCATCAAACCTTCTTCATCTTTCATTTTAACTCTGCATGTATTTTCTGTTTCATTATCCAGCTGCTGTCGTCCTGCAATTAAACAGCGAGAGGGTGAAAAATCAACAGGTAAATCATTTAAAGATGTTCATGTTGTCCTTATGTTTTTGTCCATTTAACAGCTCATGTCTATCTTTGCCCAGATTGATGAGGAGACTAAAGTTTACTCTGCTGTGGTCTTCACCATGAGGAAAGCTGACCGTGGTGCAGTGAAGGATGCAAAAGTAGCGCAGAGGAAAAGGATGTGTGCTGCTGTGAAGGATTTTGGTTTGAATTAGTGAGTGAAAAGGTCTGTTTGGCAACATTTGATTTAACTGATTTTAGTTTGTTTAAAGCTTAAGAAAATGCTGATTACCTCCAAATATCTACACTTAGATAACTTAAGGAGGTGCTATGAATATTCTATCACTCAGGTTGTGACTGTATTGGTATGTGTATGCAAATGATATTCTATAATTCATAATAAAATGTATTTGTCAAACCTCCTTGGATTAAAGGACTGTAACATTCAGGCTTACCGGGTCTCCTGCGTTGTTCTTTCTGTAAGTCCATGAGCGCTTTGTTTATGAGGAAACATCACACCACATGTTGGGAGGATAAGAAATACATGTTTCTAAATCTGCTTTACATTTTCAGGGTTCTGTCAAATGTCTCGTTATCATTTGGAAGTAATCAATCATTCAGTCAATCAATCTTTATTTGTTCAGCACCAATTCATAATAAATGTTTCTACAAAAACAGCCGCTCTGCACTTTACTCTTTATTATATTTACAGAAACACAAAATTCATCCATCAGCAGACAAACATTTAGCAAAGTAACAATGGGAAGATAAAAAAATTGCTTTTTACAAAGAGAAACCTGGATCAGAACCAGACTCATGTTGAACAGGCAGAAGCCTGGATCAGAACCAGACTCATGTTGAACCGCCACCTGCTATGACTCTGTTTGGCTTGAAAGAACGGCATAACTGAGTATTACAAGGCCCCAAAGTCAGACTGGCCTCTATGAATACTCATATAAGCTGCTATGATTTTATAAATACAGAACACTGTGGTGTCATTCCACTTGCACGGCTGTATTCTTTACCTTCAAGGTAGAAAATACTTTATTTCAGGTTGTAAAAATGTTTCTGAACATGAAATGATTACACGTGGGGTCCCCCAAGGGTCTATTCTTGGCCTTCTCCTTTTTCAAACAAAATAACTGTATTCGGTCCCAAACAGGAGGGATCATGAGTCAGCGCTCATTTCCCATCAATTTCACAGAAGCCACACATCAAGCAAGAAATCTGGGTGTTGTTTTGGAGTCTGATATAAATGTAAACATTCACATAAAAACAAGTTCAAACACGAAGAAAAGAGGGAACAGATGACACAGTCTGAGTCGCTTTTATACCTCAGGGGAGACCTGGGGCGGGGCCCTCCTCGTGGATGGGCTTGGACAGGTTGTTGGTCGCTGCTGACGCCTGATTGGCACATTGGTGGGACTGGTCTGCCAGACGGGCCGTCAGCAGGTCCCTGGATGAGGGGGGAGCAGGACGCTGCCCCGCCACCATGGTGGTGACTCTCACTCCAGAAAAAGGTTGCCATGGGAGGGGCCCACCTCGTGGATGGGGGTGGACCAACATACAACTCTTTTAGTGCTGCGCAGGTTCGCAAGTGATAAATCCAATAGCAATAGCCTTAGAGGGTGGAGCCTATACGATATAGAATGCAACGCACGGTTTGCAAACAGACGCACACGGACGACTCAACACACTCACAGAACTCTCCAAAAGGGATGTTAAACCACACACAGAGAAGGGGGCATGTGTGCGTTAAAATGACTGTGTATCCACATCCAGGTCCAAAAATGGTCTTTTCTGATTCTAAAGAACCATCGGGGTATTTGTCAAAATGCAAATGTTGATGCTTTTACACACCACTGGTTGACTTCAGGGATGTTCAATCAGAAACCACAGATCTTTCTTTGAGATAATAGAGTGCCATATTGTCTTCTGGTTTAGCTGCCTGGTCCCAGAACAACCTGTCAGAAATCTGTAGAGCACCTTTACAATCGAGCCTTGAAGATTCTGCACAAAAACACAAATAGGACATCATCACTGCAGCATTTTAAGTAAATACAAGACTTTAAGTTTTACACATTTGCTTGATCCATTAACACTAGGACCACCAACATTCTAGACCCCCCTCCAAGCACCTCAGCCGTCTGTCAGACAGCATGTGCAAATGTAATTGTTTGTGCTCAGAAACACACAAATATTGAATTTTTTTGATGAAGTTAAATACAACTTACTTTTATGTACAACCCAAATAGGCTATCACAGCATAAGGCAGGATTGGTAACCTTTTAAATGTCGCATGTCAATTAACAATATATGTCTGCTTTTTTAGTGCGCCGTTTTTACTGCTGCTCCACGTCTCCCGTTGCAGCGCTCTTTAGTTTGCTGGTAGCTTCACATTGCATGTGAATTTACACCAAATGACTGTGATCTAAAAACACTTACATGACACTCAAATAAGCAGTGAGTAAAGTATGTTATTCTTCTTTTCTCTAGTCCCTCAACTAAACAACTTCTATACACAAGGGGATGAGCTCGTCCATGTAAACAGTGTGTAGATACCACGGGACTCTCATGACAGTCATGACTCAGAGTTATTTTCAGAGGATATACTGGATTTCTGCTATATTTATGTGTAAAATATTGCATATTCTACCTTTAAATGTTGAAACATGCTTGCTCCTTAGTGCTGCAATACTCCTCTTAAAGGCTAGTTGGCAGAGTGATTTTATTGCAAGTTTAGGGTTCTGCCACATTCCCTGTTTTTTTGTGTACAGGAAACCATGAGGACTGAAACCGGCAAGCAGCAGTTGATTTTACTGCTGCTTGACCTACGTCCTACCTCAGTCAGACCCAAACTAGACTAGGCGTTTTGAGCATGCTCCACAAACCCCTCACCTGCTCCTACATAAGGGAGGTGACAAGGGTAATCTCAATAATTACAGGCCAAACAATATAGAATTCTTAATAAATGACTAGTTTACAGATTTTCTTTCCAGAACCAAAATCATGAGCCCATATCAGTCAGGTTTGAGGGCGCACTCACACTAGGCAATCTGTACTTTGCTCAAGCATGCTCCACCCCTAAAGTCTAGTCCGCCCCTCAATGATGTCTCGAGTGTAAATAAAGGTTGAAAAAAAATTGCCTTTTTGAGCTGTAACTGTAGCTGGACGTAACTGTGCATATAAAGTTACTGACTTTAAGTGAGAGAGAGAGAAAGCATGAAGCAGAAACAGTTTAGGAGATATTTCTTGCATGCTAGTGGTTAGTTCACTGTGCATTAAAACTTTTAGGTGTTCTGCCTGTGGTCAACTTTTTGTCCACACACACAAACAAACAGATGAACACACATTCACAGTCACAGCTGAAGACCAAGTCATGCATGGAAACTCGAGTGCCGTTGTGGTTAGGCTTCACATCGAGGTGTGAATACAAAGAGGCTTTTTTCTGTTGCTGCACTCTGTTTGAATCTCAGGAAGTTCAACTTAACTTTTATTTTACCTTCTTTAAGGTATAAACAAAACCTACTGTTTTTATTAGAAATAGTATCACAACACCAACTCAGGTTTAGAAAAAGGCAGCAATGTGAAGTGTTTTTATTGTGTTTTTCACCAGCCAGAGGGGAGGTGCTAATCTCTCACTGGTTTGTACCTGCTCTGTTTGGCCTCAACAAGAGATATGTAGTGGGAGTTTATGGCTTCATAAAATAAGGCTGGCTGCACACTAGACAGCTACCTTGGTAAGTCTCTGAAGACTCTTCAAATAGTACAAAATGCTGCAGCTGTAGTGACAAGAACTAGGAAAAGGGATCACATTTCTCTTTAATTGGCTTCTTTGCACTGGCTCCCAATAAAATCTAGAATATAATTTAAAATCCTTTCCTCTCTTACAAAGCTCTGATCAGGAAAAATCTTATCTTAAGGATAATGCTGTATTACCCTTCAGGAACATTACGCTCCCAGAATGCAGGTCTAAGTACGGTCTCTAAATGTACTACGGGAGGTAGAGCCTTCAGTTATCAGGCCTGCACGTGGTACCAACGGTCTCTAAATGTACCATGGGAGGTAGAGCCTTCAGTTATCAGGCCTGCTCGTGGTACCTACGGTCTCTAAATGTACCGTGGGAGGTAGAGCCTTCAGTTATCAGGCCTGCTCGTGGTACCTACGGTCTCTAAATGTACCATGGGAGGTAGAGCCTTCAGTTATCAGGTCTGCTCGTGGTACCTACGGTCTCTAAATGTACCATGGGAGGTAGAGCCTTCAGTTATCAGGTCTGCTCGTGGTACCTACGGTCTCTAAATGTACTATGGGAGGTAGAGCCTTCAGTTATCAGGCCTGCTCGTGGTACCTACGGTCTCTAAATGTACTATGGGAGGTAGAGCCTTCAGTTATCAGGCCTGCTCGTGGTACAGTCTCTAAATGTACTATGGGAGGTAGAGCCTTCAGTTATCAGGCCTGCTCGTGGTACAGTCTCTAAATGTACTATGGGAGGTAGAGTCTTCAGTTATCAGGCCTGCTCGTGGTACCTACGGTCTCTAAATGTACTATGGGAGGTAGAGCCTTCAGTTATCAGGTCTGCTCGTGGTACAGTCTCTAAATGTACTATGGGAGGTAGAGCCTTCAGTTATCAGGCCTGCTCGTGGTACAGTCTCTAAATGTACTATGGGAGGTAGAGTCTTCAGTTATCAGGCCTGCTCGTGGTACAGTCTCTAAATGTACTATGGGAGGTAGAGCCTTCAGTTATCAGGCCTGCTTGTGGTACCTACAGTCTCTAAATGTACTATGGGAGGTAGAGCCTTCAGTTATCAGGCCTGCTCGTGGTTCCTACGGTCTCTAAATGTACTATGGGAGGTAGAGCCTTCAGTTATCAGGCCTGCTCGTGGTACAGTCTCTAAATGTACTATGGGAGGTAGAGCCTTCAGTTATCAGGCCTGCTCGTGGTACAGTCTCTAAATGTACTATGGGAGGTAGAGTCTTCAGTTATCAGGCCTGCTCGTGGTACCTACGGTCTCTAAATGTACTATGGGAGGTAGAGCCTTCAGTTATCAGGTCTGCTCGTGGTACAGTCTCTAAATGTACTATGGGAGGTAGAGCCTTCAGTTATCAGGCCTGCTCGTGGTACAGTCTCTAAATGTACTATGGGAGGTAGAGTCTTCAGTTATCAGGCCTGCTCGTGGTACCTACGGTCTCTAAATGTACTATGGGAGGTAGAGTCTTCAGTTATCAGGTCTGCTCGTGGTACCTACAGTCTCTAAATGTACTATGGGAGGTAGAGTCTTCAGTTATCAGGCCTGCTCGTGGTACCTACAGTCTCTAAATGTACTATGGGAGGTAGAGTCTTCAGTTATCAGGTCTGCTCGTGGTACCTACGGTCTCTAAATGTACTATGGGAGGTAGAGCCTTCAGTTATCAGGTCTGCTCGTGGTACCTACAGCCTCTAAATGTATTATGGGA